AACAGGAACCGCTAACAGCTAATTCCTCATTTAATGTGCAAATACACCAAAATGTAAACAAATACATGCTTATAAAAAAGGCTTCAAATGTGGCCAACAGCTTCTCACTGATTGCATGGCTACATTATATTTCCTGCTTGCATCCCCCCTAAGTATTATTGGAGTTGTAGTTCATAGAACAAAATTATCTCAAATTGTAGTAAGAAAAAGAACAGAAGTAGAAATCACAAATCGTATCAAAATGGTTGTTATATTTCATAGAAACACATATATTGGTGGCATTTATAAGGATCCCAACTTATTCTGAAAAACAAAAACAAACTTAACACGTTAATGAATTCACATGGTCGATCACACCGTTTATTCATATCAGGTGTAAATGCACCCTTGGATCCGTTGTTGTTATCCAGATAAAGTATCCAGATACAGATGGCATGTTAATACTAGATGTAAATGTTTGCCCAAGACATTTAGAGTAAATAAAAGGAGTGAAAACAGTGTTCAAAGGGCTAAATAGTGATAAAAATAGTTAATTTGATTGAAGTATTTTGGTTTGTAGAAGTGATTCTTAGCAGCAGTTACTTAAGTTTACCAAACCTTTGCATATTAAACATCATTTCAGACACTGTACACTCCCAGATACATTCATAAGGTGAACGATGCTACGTACACATAACACACATAATTCACCAACTGTATGTTTTCTCCGTGGAACAGATTGTGATCGCCACCCCTGGTCGTCTGATCGACGTGCTGGAGAACCGGTACCTGGTCCTCGGCCGCTGCACATACGTGGTCCTGGATGAGGCCGATCGTATGATTGACATGGGCTTCGAGCCCGACGTCCAGAAGATTCTGGAGTACATCCCAGTGACCAATCAGAAACCAGACACGGAGGAGGCGGAGGACCCCGAGAAGATGATGATGAACTTTGAATCTGGAAAACATAAATACAGACAAGTATGTTTATCTGTCAGACGTTTGCACACAAGACTTGTTTATTTGTGTATTCAAACAGTATTAATTAATTTATTTATTTGTTTTGTTTTTCGCCCCTTTCAGACGGTCATGTTCACAGCTACTATGCCTCCAGCTGTGGAGAGGCTGGCCAGGAGCTACTTGAGGCGTCCTGCCGTGGTGTACATCGGGTCTGCTGGCAAACCTCACGAGAGAGTCGAACAGAAGGTCCTGCTCATGTCGGAGGGAGAGAAGAGGTGAGACTGACTCGAACATCAAACTGCAAACATCAAACGTCCTGTTTATTTTCTGTCGTACTGAGTTTGGTTGTGGTTTATTTGTGGTGCAGGAAGAAGCTCCTGGAGGTGTTGTCGCATGGCTTCGAGCCTCCGATCATCATCTTTGTCAACCAGAAGAAGGGTTGCGACGTGCTGGCCAAGTCTCTGGAGAAGATGGGGGTAAGTTACTGTACATTAGATTTTAAAGCTTCTGAACCCCGAAGCTTTCAGTCAGATTTTATTTCAGATTTGGTCGTCTCAGATTGCGTAGATGTATCAGCTTAATGTACTCTTTGTATTCAATCTTTCCATCATTCCAACAGCAGCTGTTTTTGACTGACAACCATGAGCTGTGACATAAACACACATTTAACAGGGTTTTTAATGTTTGTTTCACTGTTTATTTTATTTCAGACAGTCATGTTCCCCAGAGAATTAGTGCTTGTAAACTTTGTGATCCCCTGACCTTTCCTGTAGAGTAGAGTAGACTCTTCTTCCTGTTTTAATGTAGTGACATTTTATCACAGATGTTTAGTATAAATGGAAATAAATCTGACACTATGAGAACCACTGGACTACACCCTCTTTAAACGCCTGTCAGTCAACTGGATTTCCTAAAAAATACTGAAAATATGAAACCAAATTGTAACGTCAGTCTTTTTCCTCTTCACACAGTACAATGCTTGCACACTGCACGGTGGCAAAGGCCAGGAACAGAGAGAGTTTGCGCTCTCCAATCTCAAGGCAGGAGCCAAAGATATCTTGGTGGCCACAGACGTTGCTGGTCGAGGTATCGATATCCACGACGTCTCCATGGTCCTTAACTACGACATGGCTAAGAACATTGAAGGTAAGAAGCCTCGTTCTGTCTGCATTGATTTTTCTTTATTGTCTGTATCTCTTCTTCACTTTCAACATACTACTGCTGGGTGCTATTGCTTCCTTTTCAAAATGAAATATTTTAAATGAGTTGTTTAAACACTATAAACTGACATGAAAGGCTCAAAATATAAGTAAGTATATAAGAATATAAGTATCCTAAGAGATATTTCTCAAATGTTCTGTTGCACAAGAAACAAATGATTTACAGCGGTTGTCATGGCGGCGTATTAAAGCAGGTATACCGGCTTTATATCGCCCAGCACTACAACATACGTTTGTCTTTTTAAGATTTCATAACATACAATACATAGAAATAATATGGTTTTATTGTGTGTGTATATATATATTGTATATTATTTCTGTGGTATGGTGTCGATTCTCAAAAAACACTGTTTGTGTTTAAACCCCCAACGGCTAGAAAGCAGTGTTGTAAACGTGGGGCTCTTTATACTAAAACTACTATAAAATCTCAATATATCGTCACACGTTGAACCGTAACCGCTGTATCATGATACGTATTGTATTTCCAGATTCTTTCCACTACACAGCTCTAATAAAACTCTGGTTATTGTTTCACTCTGCTAACGGTGCTTTTTCTCCCCTCTCCCCTCTGCAGACTACATTCATCGTATCGGTCGTACGGGTCGTGCCGGTAAGAGCGGTGTGGCCTTGACCTTCCTCACCAAAGAGGACTCGGCGGTGTTCTACGACCTGAAGCAGGCTTTCCTCGAGAGCCCGGTCTCCACCTGCCCTCCGGAGCTGACCAACCACCCGGACGCTCAGCACAAACCTGGAACCATCCTGACCAAGAAGAGACGCGAGGAGACCATCTTTGCCTGATTTACCTCCCCGGCTGTTATCGTACAGATTGTACTTTATCCACTGAACACACGCCTAGGGGTTCAGACTGTTGTATCTTTATACAGAACACATTTCTCTGTTCCGGTCTTCAGGTTTATTTACACCCGTTTCTTTTGTTATTTTAGTTCCTTGGCTCCTATTGAGTCAGTCAGAGTAACACATTGTTAACTGGTGCAGAAATCATCACAGCACTGGTTTTGGGATTGTAAAGGCTCAGTTTAAACATGTGTAAATGTTTGTTTTTTGCTTCTATATAAACAGGAGCCAGAATCAGTAACTGATCTGCACTGTATAAATGTTACTCTTCAGTTATCAAATGTGATAAATACCAGCCCGGATGTGAGTGTAGATGAGTGGTTAAGTGCTATATTGAGCATTTTTATGAATTCTCTGTCACCATAATTTGAGTTTCCTGACTGTTAAAGACCAATGCCAGAAGTGACGGACATTTCTTTTGCTTCAGATCCATCCTCTGAGTCAATTCAGTGTTTTAAATATAAACATTTGTATGACGTGAATACAGCAGATTTAAGTAACACCTGGTTCGTAACTGTCTGAATAATTAATGTGAAAGAAACTGTCTGTAGCATTTTTAGTCTAAAATCACTGTTGAGTTGTTCTGATACCAGTATTGGAAATTCCTCCCAAAACTTCCTAAAATGCAGTATCGGGAATCAGTGAGTACACGTGCACCGATCCGATGCCACTTAATGGTGCTGCTACTAACCTTTTTCCCAGGATGGTAAAGTCAGGACCTGCCCATACTCAGAATCTCAGGGTTTAACCTGAGTCATAAAACAATGACCGCAATGATACAGAGTTATTAGTATACGCTTATCTATTTTTTTAACGCACATGTATCAGATCAATACTCAAAGTTCAGGTATCAGGAAGGAACAAATGGTATCGGAACATCTCTAAAAATGATCAACCTCGGGATGCAGAAAAGAGTTCAAATCTTCAAAAAGAGCAAATATTTAGTGTTCACACACACAGGTGCAGGATTAATGTGGAGTTTTGATTAAAAAATTGTTTTATCTGTTTAATTCCTCGTTCATAAACCAGTTTAAAAACACAAATGGGTTTGATTTTTCAAAAAAAGATGATACCTGAGTCTCACCTGTTCAGGTGTGTGTCCTGTTAGGATGACCGGGGTCAACAGGTGGTGGGAGGTGATCGGTGTCATATAAACATATCAAAAACAGAAAATAAAGGTAAACGTTAACTCAACTAAAAAAACATACTGTACATATTATTATTCATGTACATTGTTTTTAATTTGAGTTATCTTATGATGATTAATTAGAAGTAATTATGAACAAGCTCAGTAACCAATAAAGGCTTTTAACCAGGACTCCACATTATTCCTGCTGCTCCACATGTGAGTGCCTGCTTTGTACCTTCAAAGAGGTTTTTAGTTTTTTCTTTTTTTAAACCTCTTGTATCAAATGTTCATAGACAACCCCTGCCAACCAAAATCTTTACTTTCTCTCTGACTTTAAGTTGGCGGTGCTCATTTTTATGTGTCCAGTTTTTGAAAAAAGAAATAATACCTAAGAATTCATTATTATAAACTTTGTTTTTTGCTTATTCTGCAATGAATATATAGAACTACTTAAGAAGGTCTGAAGCCAAGTTTTCAGGGGCCTTGAATTACCAGCAGGTATTCCCAGAATCCACCTTGTTTGTGGCCGTATATGAATACACTGTGCTTACACACTGTAAAAGGTCGTACGTAATATAATCAGGTACAATTTTGAACAGACCATTTTAAGTATTGTAATACTTAAAGAGTGTAATGCCAAGCTTATGGCTCTGTGTGGGTGACAACGCTGACTTACTGATCTTTACCATGTTCACCATCTTAGTTGAGTGTGTTAGCATTTGCTAATTAGCACTTAACATAAACTACAGCTGAGGCTAAAGGGAGTTTTCATCAGAGTCACTGGTGGACTCAACCTCTGGCCACTGAATCAGGCTGTTTTGAATTCAAATTCTGAACTTTTGATTGACTAAATAGGAAGTTCAGGGTGACAAATGTTATCACAAACAGGGGCGGATCTAAAGAAATATTAATTTGGGGTGGCCAGAGGGTGACGGAAATATATGCTGATTTAATTTAAATCACATAGATCAATATTTGCTTGGAAAAGAAATTAAGATATTTGGATTCAAAAAGCATTGAATAGAAATATCTAAAGGTGGTTTCTAAATCTCAAAATACATTTTCATTTAAGTTTAACATTTCAAATTAATGAATGTTAAATTTGACACCAAACTGGGGTGAATGAACCTCAACAGGGAACATTTAAGTGTGTGTGTGACAGTCGTTGAGACATTTCACTAAAAACCTCTCGTGAAGTCTGAATGTCTGTAGAAAGAAGTTTACTTTTTAATTAAAGTGTATTGTAGTGAAACAAAAAAAAGGACTCAAACAATTAAAAGTACATAAAATGTCATGTTTATTTTGTTTAAGTCATATTTTACTTAGCATTGTAAATCTATTTTCAAATAGAAAGCATTCTATACAGCATCAGGCAGGAAATGTCTCACTTTTTACACATTTTCTGTCTCTTTTTGATAAATAGAAGGGAAGAGGCGTGTTGGGTCACGCTAGCACGCTGTGGTAGTCTGGTGGATACACGGTTATATTTAGTGCAGTTATTGCATTACAAAGCAACCATCCCAAAAAAACAGTAGTGCAATTTTTTTTTTCTCTACTCACACAAAAAGAGGAAGTCCAGATGGTCTAAGGCGTTTAAAGTTTTTCAATGTTAGGCTTAGTATTGCATACAGAATAAGACAGAGGAGAACTAAATTATAACCCTTGTAAAAATTGTGCTTCATAAATTGAAAAAACCTCAACTGCTTTTATCAGTTGCTAAATTGGTCCGCTTTGAAAAAACATATTCTGCCAAAATATAATGAAAATAGCTAATTGGTGAACTAACACATGCAGGGCTTTAATAATTCACTCATTCCTTTTTTTGTTTTGTTTTTTATCACAAATTTAAAAAATAAATAAATAAATAAATAAAATCGCAGGCCTGATCTGGGACCGGGACAATTTTCTTAGTGAGTGACTTTTAAAAAGTGCGTCAACACCAGCGTCCAGCCAATATTGTGGGAGGAAAAATGTCCCCAATATTCCGGTTTTTGTGGATAAATAAACTGATGCATTCTGATTTATAAGTAAATAGTGTTGTTAGTGGTGTGAGGAGTGAGTAGCCCCAAAGACAAGACTATCACTACAAGACAACGAGGAGAATCAGAATCGATGCATTACTAAAATACTTAACTGTAAAAAGAAACAATCAGATTTTCATGCAACACTTGCATAGATTTTTTTTCTTATTTTTTGTTTCAATCATGCTGATTTTTTTTTTACATTTTTTTTTAATCTCTTCAAAATATACAGAACACTAGATAGAGAGAGAAAGATACCTGTGAGACATGGAAGCAGTAGACCAGTAATTCCTAAAGCCAGCTGTTAACAGTATGTGAACAGAAGCTGCTCGTTTTATCAGCATCGCGTCCGAAACCCACCATCGGCTCATGGACTAATAAATGGCGCAGGAACAGAATGACATCGTGTCACGGGGTCGGGGAGGGGAGGGGGGTGCTACGAGTCCTTCAGGAGCACGACACATTCGTTAACGTGGAGTTGAGCGCGATGAGTGTGTAGGACTTTACACCTGAGGATCTGCCTTGGTAAAAACCTAATGGACTGTAAAACCGCAGTAAACGCACACACAGGAAACGATGTTTGGCGCAGACGTACGAGGGGGAGTGAGATAAGGTGTAGAAACTTGTGGATGCTACAATCAATAACGTGCTACAATCGAATTACAGGGCGATCGGTTGGGTCGGAGAGACACCGGAGGGGGGGGGGGGGGGTAGGTGCAAAAAAGGCATGCAAGCTTACATTCTCTGAAGCCTGGATTTTTTTTTTTTGTGCAGCGTGTGCTTGATAATATGTGAATGATTCGATGTAAACAAGCGGTTTGGCAAATATTTCATCCTTTGTAAAGATAACATTCCCTTTTTCTTGGTTTACATTCTCTGTGCCCGTGTTTTATTTTTTTATTTTTTGCTTTTTTTTAAAGATCTTTAGAGGTGTAAAGAGAGTGATTGTGCAACAGCAAAGACGAGCGATGCCCAGAACGTACTGTACTGTACTGTAGGTGACACTGACGCTGCGCTGCAGCTTTTGTACTGCTTACTTTCATTGTGGCCCTTCAAAAGATTAACCGTATGTGTCTCCCGCCCGCCTGCCGTTCACCGCCGCCTTCAGAGTACAAACTGAACTGAACACATGGATGGTGACGTTTTTCTCTGAAACAACAAACAAGTCCATATTAACAGAATCAAACAAATATAGTAGCAATGAAACAAAACCAGGTTGCTCATTCAGTATATACATTGTAATCAAATGCATTACTATTTCCCATAAGTGGATTCAACAGTAGACATTCCTATTAGTTTATCCGTAAAGATTCATTCAGTTCCTGTTCTGACGTTAATGTGCAAATAGTCTTAAAATAATTATACCCACACATGCAATAGTAAAGATAGTTTTAAAAGTCTTAGGAATTTTAAGGCCAGTATATGAGACATCCTACAATAGAGAAACCTTAGGCAAAGCAGCTAAAGTTTGAGTTTGCGTACAGCTGGTAGCCTGAAACCTTTCCATTGTAGAGGTGAGTAGCCCTGTTGACTTTTATCTGAATCTGGAGAGGGTCATTACATCCTCTCCTCTCGGTTTAGATAAACTGGGAGTCTGGAGGAGCGGCGGCTGGAAATACTTTTAAAAAATAGACCTACAGTTTGCTTGATAGCCTGTGTCTGTTGGTTCCAGATTCAAAGTTAGGAGCTGATTTTGGGGGCGACTTTTTTCATCTCTAAATAGTTTGTTTGGGAACGTACGACGCTCGGAGGGCTCGGGGGATCTTGGTGTTGATCTGGAGGCCGGGAGGAGAGAGGGGGGGGGGTCCTTGTTCCTCAGTAGGTGTCTCGAGGCCAGGGGCGGCTGCGCTGGCGGTTGTTCCGCTGGTTGTGACCTTGCTGAGCTTCGCGTTGGAGCAGCCTGTCCTGTGACTCGTGCCCGTTGGCACTGTGGGCACTGCCTGTGTGCCCACGGTGAGGGGGGTACATGTCCCTGTATGTGCGAGCATGGCAAGGGGAGGCGTACTCATCCTCCTCCTCTTCCTCCTC